TCAATTGCATTCGAAGAGAACGAACCCATGCCGTCCTCGGCAGCCCTGTCCGTTAAACGCCTTTGCCAACCGCGTACCCAGTGGTTCCTCCCGGTGTGCACCCCGAACGCCTACCATAAATACAACTAAACAACCATAACCAAATTATTCCCATTCCAGCAAGTTTACACCAACAACCTCCCCTGCCCTTCCGCCGGCGTCAACCCCGACTTCATGTTCTTCTCACTCTCCTGCCACCGCCTCAACTCCTCCAGGTTCACCTGCCCAATGATATTCCCCCTCTGCGTCTTCAGTTCCGTCATCTTCATCTCGTGCTTCTCGCGCGCCCCGCTCAGCTTAACATCCCGCTCGAGCTGTTTCCGCTTGTGCATCGCCTCGTACTCCTGGATCATCTTCTGGTTTTCGTACGTCAGCTGCTGCAAGTTCTTGGCTTCGCGCCCCTGGAATTTTTGCTGCTGCATCTCGCGCAAGTGCGCCAGGCTCCGGGCGTGGCGGAGGTCTTTCGCCTCGTTTTCAAGCGCTATTTTGTCGCGCCGCTGGCCGAGGTGTTGTTGGTGAGAGTGGTATCGGTGGGAGAGGTCCGCCTCGCGCTTCTGGGCGAGCATGGAGAGGTCATCGGTGTGCTTCTGCCAACGGATGCTCGAATTCACGTCGGCAGCGCCGAGTTTAATTTGGGAGTCGTTGTGATGTTTCTCGGCGCGCATTTGGATGGTTTGGTGATGCTCTAGCCCGCGGTGGCGCTGGCGTTGGAGAGAAATATCTTCGTGCTGCTGGATTTTGCGGTGATGCTTGTCTTCGTCGAGCTGCGCCAGGGCGATCGCCTTTTCACGTTCCCGTCGGATCGTGTTGGCGTGATCTTCCTCTATTAGACGCTTTTGGCGCTCGCGGGCACGCCGGTCACGCTCGTACTCACGGATCTCCTCAGGAAGCCCGACGGCGTCGTGGGGCTGGACTTCTTCGATGGTGGCATAAAATCGATCCTCGGACCCGTGTGCCATGAGAAGTTGCAAGAGGGACTCGGACGGGGTACCCAGGAGAATCCCCTTCGCGACATACATCGTGGGTGAGTAGTGCAGGGTGCCGTGTTGATACGTGTTTTCGTGGCTGTTGAGTGTTTTGTAAAGCATCCGCTCAAGAAGAAGTCGAGTGATGGCTTCATTGTGCTCGTTATCCAGGGCGAGGAAAATTACCGTTTTGCCATGGACTTTGAGCAACGGGCTAGCCTCCACCGTGGAGAGAAGGTCAAGTGCCTCCTCGGCCGCGGCGATGTCGGTCGGAGGAGTAGCCTTCAAGGCAATTTCTCCAAGGGCTGTCCGACCGCCATGCTTAATCGACCGGAAGTTCGGGTCATGGCCAGACTCTAAGAGAAGCTGCATCACCGGAACATGGAACCCGCGGGCGGCCTCGTGGAAGCTTCCGTCGTTCACAACGGGTTTACTCTCCAGCAAAAGCTCCACAAGGTCAGTATTCCCAGACCGCGAGGCATAGAATAGCCCCGAGTGGCCAAGAGCATCTTTGGCCGAGACCCTTGCGCCCGATTCTATGAGTATTCGCACAATGTCAACGCGCCCAGACTTCGCCGCGACCAAAAGTGGCGTGGTTCGTGACCGTGGCGTGGTGTACGAAATATCGGCTACAGTCGTTTGTTAGCATGTATGGGTTGCATGGGACCATAAATATGCTCACCACCGTGATGGATCAACGACTTGAGGACGGTCAAGCTGACGAGGCCTTCTTCTTGAAGCAAGACCCACATGAGAACCGAGGCGGGCTCTAACTCGGAACTCACCACTCTGTCCTCTCTATCGCGCGCATGATGAGAGAATACATGCATGGGAACGGTTGTTTCCAGTCGGCATCCGGCTGCAACCAAACTATCGAGTACAGGTACGGAGTCGCCATATGACTTGAGACACTGGAAGATCGGGGGTGGCATTCCTGGGATCGACTTGTTGAAATCCGGGGTTGTGGTGCGTGCATCCGTCAAGATGCTTATTAGTTCCAACAGCCGTGACTCTTCGTGATGTGCCATGATGGCTGCCGTAAGAGCGAGGGTTGCTGAAGAAGAGGTAGCGCCATTGGTTAGTAAGAGCGTCAAGAGAGCAGGGTCCCCGCGGCTGGCTGCAATGCTGATGGCCTTGCCGTTCTCGTAGTTGACATCGATGTTAGCGGCGAACATTCTGCGCAGGAACGTGTCTGCCAGCTCGGCTTGAGATTCCTGGCACGCAAGATGGTCGACGATCTCCACCATTGCTTTGCCCGCGATGGGCCCCGAGGCGCCGTGTTGAAGGAGAATGTCGATCACTTCCACATGCTCGAAGGAGATCCAGTGTTTGCCACGGTTGACGATGGCTGCCAATGCTTGGCCGTAGATGGTGCTATGATGGCCCAAGTATGCTGACAAGAGGCTGAGCAAGTCGTGGTCGAGGGTAGAGGCGGCGTACTTGATGCACAACCCGTCCTCGAGTGCGGCTTCGGCGCCCGAGTCAAGCAGCAACCTCACCATGTCTAGGTCCGTGTCGTCTTCAAGCACAACGTGCTTAAGTGCTGTGTTAAGGTGATCAACTTGCAACCGACTCAGCAAGTCACTGAAAAGGAGCCGGCGATCTTCCCTCGGTGCTTTCAGCGACTCCAAAACAGCGGTAAACAGAGCTTTGTAACCAAGCCCCTGGCCGAGCAGCAGATGGAATGTTTCTTGCCGGAAATTCCGGATGGCGTAAATAAAGACCTCACCGTTGTTGTAATTCACGGATGCACGGGTCAGTAGTAGCTCAACGATCTCCCTGTTCCTCTGTCAGCTCACGAAAGAAGGTGTGATGATGATACTTTTAGACTTACGCTTGGTCTGGTTCCGTTTTCAGGATGGTTACAAGCGCCTTCCCAGCTGCATCCTCGTTGATCTGGCGGCGAACGAGCATTTCGACCAGCAACTTCTTCTTGCGCGCATCGCGGACATCCATCGCCCACCCCAACGCAGTGCCTAGTGAGTCGGGCGAGGGCTCTTTGGCCAAAATCTCATCGGAGACTTCGACAGACCCCGATCGGACCGCGATCTGCAAAGCCTCCCCCTTCCCAAAGTTGACGTCTGCCTTTCCTTCGTGGAGCAGGAGGTAGAAAAGCCGCATATCCCGCTCAATGCCCATCTTGTCCCGGCGTTTCATGTTGGCCACCAGGCAGTGAACAGTCTTAACTAGTGCTTCTCCGGCACAGGCGCCCCGTGCGCCCGACTGAACAAGTAGGCGAGTTGCTTCGTATCTGAACTGTGGGCCGCCAACGCCGACGGTTTGCGAGATTGCAATGGTGAGGCTCGTTTGGGAAGGTTTAAACTCGAGTAATTTGGCGACAACGTCCAGTTGCTCGGCGCGAATCGCCTCGATCAAAGCAGCGGCTTCGTACTGGCCTGGCGACTTCTTGTACCGTAGGATAATGCCAATGAGGTCAATACGTCGTCGCCTTACAAGCTCGATGAGGCCTTCAGTTACCAAACGGACCGTCTCAGGCCCAGTAGCACCTGCAGCCAAGCATAACTCGAGCATTTCCTGGTTCAAGCCAGTATCGTACTCTCCGAGCAATGGACGGAGCTTGCCCACGGCAGCATCGAGGGACCGAGAGGAGGGTTGAACCGCACCGGATAAAAGGAGGGCGACGAGATCAGGGCGGGATATTTCGACGGCCCTTGTTAGTGCAACGGCGTCGCCGTAGTTGACATCTGCCCAGTGCTCCAAAAGCAAACGCACGACCTCGACCGAGCGGTTTTCGACGGCGATCCGAAGGCCCGTTGAACGGCAGGCCAGGCAGGGGAGATGATGGCCGGAGAGAAGAACCTTGAGGAGGTCCTGTCGATCATGGAACACTACCTCCTGAAAATCGTCGTGAAGATGGACCGGGCTCGCACCATGCTCCAACAGCGCAGCCACAACCGCCAAATTCCCCCTGGTTATCGCTTCATGAAGGACGCTATCGAGGTTGGCTTGGTCGGCGTGGGCAGCGATCGCATGGACGGTCTCGGGTCGACATCGGATGACAGCTCGGAGGAGGATATTGTTTCTCTCCCCGGGCATGTTGCGTTGTGTGATTTTGTTCCAGGTCGTCGAGTGTCTTCGGCGGACAAAATTGACGTCAGCCCCGAGGGCCAGGAGTGCCTTCACGACACCGAGAGATCCATCGGATTCGACGACCTCGGAGAGGACTTTGTTAATCTCGCGGGCCGTGTATACGGTGCCGGCCTGGGACGACAGGCGGTTCCGGACCCATGAGAGCGGTTGCCCATCACGGTCGACAGCCCGCTGGGCTTGGAGGAGCTGGGTCGCTTGCTTGATCTCGGGCTCCATGTCATCGCCTGGATGATGAATGCTGGGAGACTCAAGCGAAGCTAAGAGAGAATGTTGGTGTTTGTCATCGTCGGGTGGAAGACCAGTCGCTGAATGGGGTTAGGGACCGTCACCCCTTTCAAGCGGCGCCATGAAGGTGGGCGTTCTGTCCTACATACAAGTCGCTGCATCTCAGAACCAACAGCATGCCAGGGCCTTTCACTGCCTGGGGGCGGCCAACTTGAAACCGCATGGCTGCAGCGGTCAGCGAGCAGGAAAGCAACTGGATGCACATCGTCCTTGCATGATTCGCGATTCTGGCCCGGGAGTGCGGAACAACCTCAAGAGCAAATTGAGCTGCGCCGCTCCCGCGCTTGACTGGCGATTGTTCACAGTTCCATTGGGTGTCAGTGGGGTCATGGAATCCCCAAGCAGATCCCATGTGTCGTCGCTGGAACGATGCTGGCCATTCATTTGGTTGGTTCCGGGCTGCCGAGTCTGCATCAGTAGCCGCTGAAACAATCGCGACCCCTGGCACTACCGCGAATCTCCAGGGGCAATTAAGCGCTGTGACCCGCAGGTTCTTGTGCATGCGGCCCCCGATGCGACCATGAACCGAACCACCCGACGGCCGCGGCATGATGGCGAGGCGACCAAACGTTGATCGAAGGAAGAAAAGAAGTCGGCAATCGCCTTATGCGGCCAACACCAGGGTGCCACGACATGCATTCAGGCTACTGCCCAATCCCAATTCCACAAACGGCCACTTGAACTGGCCCCCCATGCATAGTGATTGTTAGGTTGGCTTGACAGCCGGGGCCTTGTTGGAGAGAGAGATGGGAGGATTGTCCCAATTGGGAGGGGTTTTGGAGTTTGCCCACTCTGTCTGGTCAGGCAAGCGCCTTCTTTCCAGCTTGGGGCCAGCACTCGAGGCCCAAGGTTGTTCCTACCAGATGCAGCCCGAACCACGGACCAGGCTTCAGCTTAACATCAATGGATCCATTGCAAACTGGCAAACACGACTGCAAGAACTTAACGAATGGGAAGCAAAGCCCTTCAATTTTCAGCTTGGTGCCTAGCGCACGGCCGCTTGTGTTTTTGTCACCCACCTGCTGGGATTTACCTGGATTGTCCTCGATCTCCCACCAGACATCATCATCCACACTCCGCCAAATACCCGTAATCGTCTCACCGCTGATAACGGGTTTATTTGGTGCTGCGGAGCCCTCGTGCCCGGGCAAGCAGAGCAGTGCAGACGGCAGCAGCCGCGACAGCCGTCGACACGGCAAAAGAGTAGCGGAGCCCGTCATAGTAAACAAGTCGAGCCTTGAGCTGCACATCCGGAGGGAGAGTCTTGATGGCGGATACCGAGTGTCGGATCTCGTCGATAACCTGTGTCGTACCCTGGTGTAAGTATCTCGCTTATCCCGAGTCCCCGACAGAGAAAGGAAAAGAAACAGCAAGGAAAAGGGGCGTACTCTCCATTTATCTGGTATCTCGCCCAAAGCATCCGGAAGCCGGACGCTGAGCGTGGTTTGCACAATGGCAGATGTGATGGCAACGCCGTACACAGTTCCTAGGGAGCGGATCAAGTAGACCGTTGATGCAGTCACAGCATGATCTGAAGTTGGTCAGCAACGGCACCATCTCCAGTCGGAATGTTCCTGTCACCCACCTGCGTGATCAAAAGTGGCAAGCGAAGTGAAGAGAATGCCCGGATACACAATCCCCTGGCCCAGGTTCGCAGGGAAGATGTACACGTAGTACTTCCACACCGAATCCTGGAAGCCAAGCGAGGTGACCAGGGCATTCCCGACGACCATGAGGATGGCACCGACTCGAACCAGGGTCACCAGCTTCCCCCATCTCGACATGACGATGCCGGCAATGAGACCACCGATAGGCGTCGCGAGTGAGGGAATCGCGAGGCGCCCACCGGCCGTCGTAGCAGAGTCCAGGAGGACCACTTGGAAGAAAAGGGGAAGATTGAACAGATACTATCGACATGGTCAGCTCCTCTTCCAGAATCTTGAGCGCACGCAGTCACTCACCGCGTATGCAGACGTGCCAACACAGATGTTGGAAAACTGGATCAAAGCAGGCAGTTTGCCGGAAAGCAAGCGAAGAGGAATGATGGGAATGGCGCAAGTCTTCGCTTCCACACACAGGAAGAGCCCAAGAAGCACGAAACTCCCTACGAGCGAACCGATCACCCACGGGCTGCCCCATGGAAGCTCATTACCACCGAGGCTCAGACCAACGAGTTGTAGCGAGATTGCAACGACCAGCAACAACGAACCCGTGAAGTCCACCCTAGCCCAGGTTGCTCGGAAGCTCTGGCCCAAATGAAAGCCGCCCTCAGGATTCTTGATGACCAATGCGCCAACAAAGAGCGCAAAAATCGAAATTGGGACCTGGAGGTTGAAACACCACCGCCAGCCGATGCTGTCGGCGATGGATCCGCCGAAGGAGGCACCACAGATGGCGCCGAAGCCAAACATGCCGTTCTGCAAGGCCTGGTACATGCCACGCTTGCGGAACGGGATCATATCCGAGTTTACGATGGTTGCTTCGAGAATGTCAGTTGCGTTTCCACGTCGGTGGGCTCAGGATACACATACCCATCGTCATCAAACCGCCACCTCCGAACCCGGTCAATGCACGCATACAGTTGAGCAGCACAATGTCACCAGCAATACCACAACCGAGGCACCCAAGCGCGAATGTGATAGTCGAGATGAAGAAGCACACCCTGCGCCCAAAAATATCCGACACGCGCCCATACAGAGGTTGGAATGCCGTGCTCGTCACCAGGTACGAGGTCGTCAACCACGACGCCGTGTTGGCTGCGTCGAACTCGGAGCTGATCACGGCATATGTTGCAGCCGTGATAGTCCCGTCAAAGCCGTACAAAAAGACATTGGACATGATGGCCACTTGGATCCAGAGGAACCCCGGCGGCGGTTTCCAAGAGTCCTCCTCAGGTGCTCGGAGAAGCGGCTGGTCTTCTCGGGCCTGATGGATCCCATTTTCGGCGTCCGGAGACGTCATGATGCTGATTGCGCTCGTTGAAAGAAGGTTGGTACTCCTGGACGTCTCGGACGACACGGCTAACAACAAATAAAGTCAATGTTTCTAGAAATGTCGGTCTTGCTGAGGCGGTGTTGGCCATCTCAAATTTTGTGGATTGTTTCATTGGCGCCGATCGACGGTCAATACCCAATTCATGCATATTTCGGATATGTCCATATCAATAACCCCTGAGTCACGCCGAGACCGCCCCTAACATTTCGAGCAGACACCGGCGATTTGCGGGGCCGGGGAATTGCGGGCCTCGTGCCGTCCCTCTCGCTCCGGTCCCGGCAGCACCCCGCACGGCACCCTGTTCTCAACCAACTTCTAGAACATGGTCCTACATGGTAACCCGGGAACGGCCAACAAGGGCCTGACACGACGGTTTTGTCGCCATCCATAGCTCGGATGGTGAATCCAGCCCGTGTACTCTGTTTTGTTCGTTTCCATTGGTCAATTGGGGGGCTTGAGAGAGACGAACACCTCCATCCAGTGCCACGGCCCACGGGTCAACGTCAAGCTCCCAAGTGGTTACACCAAGTCGGATGTCTCGATGTCCAGAAGCCCCCCACAGCTGGCCCCGGTGTGAGTCAATTTCGCTGGTACAAAGTACTACCACGGCACACTGTTGGTTGAAGTTCCCCGTGCCAGAAAAATTGGGGGCGTTGAAAGGTTGGTTGGACGACAAGCCTTGTCCATCCGTCAATGACGTCTTCAGCTCGCATGATTATGTGCAGCAACAGGGAGGACAACGGTCCTCGCTCTCAACTCAAACCCATGAGATTCTTGAATGGCGTGATCTACCCGTTAACTTCGCCATTTGTGAAGGCCAGTGGGCATCGAAGTTAAAATCACGCGCAATCCGCTATATTAGATATCTCGCTGCTTTGCTTCAAATACACTTGAAACGAGTGACCGTCAAGCGTATACCAAATTTGCCACCTTAGTACAAGGGAAAACGTGGAGGACTCTAAGAAACATCTTTTCTTTAGGAGCGTATACTAGCCAAAGGTGAATGTACCTATCGTTCAGCAAGATGAGGGTCTCGGCAGCTGACGCACCTAGTTCAACTCTCGAAGCAACACCACCATGAGGACCACAGCCTCCCTCGCTGCAACTTGCTTGCTGGTTGGGCGGGCGGCTGCCGACTGGCAGTTCCGCTCCCGCACTGATCTCGCCCCGCCCCGGCTGAACATCAGCATTCCGGCCACCAAGGACGCCGCAGAGGGATACCTCTTTGTGGCCCCTTTCGCCGGGTTCCCCGACACGCCCACCGAGCAGCATGGCCCTCGGCAGGCCGGCCCGTACATCTTCCGCGATGACGGTGACCTGATCTGGTCCGGCTACGGCATCTACAGCATCTGGGCCACCAACTTCCAAGCTGCCCGCTGGAAGGGCAAGGACGTCTTATTCAGCTTTGAGGGTGACCACAATGCCGGCTATGGCCACGGCCACGGCCACATCACTATCATGGACCAGCACTACGAGACCATCCGTGAGCTGCGCGCCGGAAACCACAAGCTGGTTGACAAGCACGAGTTCCACGTCATCAACGAGGAAACCGGTCTCATCCAGATCTACCAGCCCGTCCCCCGCGACTTGAGCAAGTGGGGAGGCAGCCCCGAGCAGCAGTGGATCGTCGACGCCATCATCCAAGGTCAGTCCCTACCCATCATACAACCACCCCGAAACCCACCACACCCCCCACCCACTATCTACCATTAAACTAACCCTCCCCCAGAACTCGACATCGCCACAGGCCGCCTCCTCTTCGAATGGCACAGCCTCGACCACGTCACGCCCGCCGAAGCTGTGCTCCCGCTCAATCCCGGCCAAGCCGGCTCGGGCTACAACTCGTCGGACGCGTGGGACTACTTCCACATCAACAGCGTCGACAAGGACCGCGCGGGCAACTACATTGTGTCTGCGCGCGACGCCTGTGCCGTGCACAAGATCAACGGTACCACGGGCGAGATCATCTGGCGCCTCAACGGCAAGGCGTCGGATTTTAAGATGGGTGAGGGGAGCGAGTTCTGCTTTCAGCACCATGCAAGGTGGTTGAAGGAGGATGAGGGTGATGGGGTCGAGGTCATTAGCTTGTATGACAACTCGGCGCATGGCACGGAGCATGGCGGTGGAAGGGAGGTGCATACCGCCGAGAATAGTAGCGGGAAGATCCTGCGGCTGGACTCGAATGCCTGGACTGCGGAGCTGGTGCATGGGTATTATCCGCCTAAGGGGTACAAGTTGCTGTCGAAAAGCCAGGGCTCGACGCAGGTGCTCCCCGGTGGCAACGTGCTGGTTAACTGGGGGTCGGAGGGCGCTGTCACGGAGTATACCGAGGATGGCGAGGTGGTGTTCCACGCCGAGATGGATACCGGGGCGCTCAATGACGGTGTTGAGAACTACCGGGCTTTCAAGTTCAACTGGACCGGGTTGCCCAGCGAGGAGCCCGCGGTGGTGGCCTTGGAGGGAGAGGAGGGGACGTCGGTCTACGTGAGCTGGAACGGCGACACTGAAACGGCGACGTGGCGGTTTTTTGAGGTGGTTGATGGGCTCGGCTCGCGTTCCTTCCTCGGCGAGTCGCAGCGCAAGAGCTTTGAGACTAGGCTTGATCTCCCCAAGGGCAAGAAGGTTGGCCGCGTTGCTGCTGAGGCGGTCGACAAGCAGGGCAGGGTGCTGCGGACGACGCGAGAGGTTGGCGTCGAGCCCGAGATTCTCCCCGCTGGTGCCCACAAGACGAAGTCTAGTGGCTCCGGACAATCGGTTATTAAGACGCAGACGGGTCTGGACCTTGGCTCTTCTGCCGAGAGCCGCTGGGAGGAGTATGCTATTCTCAAGTTCTTCCGCCTCTCGAAGGACCTTTGATTAACGGCAGAATCTCCTGGATCTCTCAAAGCCATCGACAGCAACTGCTATGACCATGTCACGTTTCAGTGGTACAGCAGCCTCTGCTCATTGCATTCCCTTTCTCGGCCGACGTCCCTCTTTTCACTCCGATCCCGGCCTTTCCTTCCGACAAACTCTCCGACAATCATTTGACCATTCATGCGGGCAGGCAACGGTAGTAGGATAGTCAATATTATAGCAATCACATTCTTTTGACATAAGATATTTGCTGAATGTGAGCCACATCGTTAAACTAATTTGAAGTGACATACATCATTTCTCACACAAACCATAATAATCTGTGGTGACAACATCCGCCGAGTAGAAACGAAGTGAGCATACATAAGTGCCATCCCTTCAAAGATCAAAACTGTAGTTGTTTGAGGTAAAAACCATCTCATTCTTTACACACCGTACTGAATACAAAACCAAGGACCTGGTACCTATGAAACCACTTCTAACGCCTCCCGAAGACCCGACACCTGGCATTATGACTCCGCTCAAGCCAGCAGATATGCAACTAGCATCATCCAAGCGGATACAATCAGATAGACAGGGCCCAAGGCTTCGGGAGCGTTAGACTGGAACCAGTCAGGCCAGTCGTTGCCGGGTGTGTATCCTGTAGCAGAGCCGTCAGTACCGGGCATCTGAGTCGGGTTCGGCTCAGATTCGCACTCACCAACCGTAACCATAGGCTTGGCCGAAGTTGTTGAAGCACAAGGAGGGACGACTTGGGTGGAAGGAGGAGTGGGAGCTGTTGGGAATGTGGAGTTCTCACCTGAGTTTTGGCCGGAGTTCTGCGCGGCGCCTTGTCCCGAGCCCGTTCCAGCCCCTGAGCCAGAACCAGAACCAGAACCGCTGCCACGACCACCACCCGAAGCAGCACCACCACCACAACTCCCCGTCGGCGGCGTCGCACCCGCACCCGAGTCCACATCCGGGCCCGGATCCGGAAACTTAACATCCGCCGAATCAACCGTCTGGCACCCATTCCCAATATTCGCCGTAAACAACCCCGGCCGACTCGCAAACGCCACCTTCGCACTGCTCCCTCCCGCACCACCACCCCCACCCACAATATCCACCACCGCACAATTCATATACATCTCCCGATTCCCCAGATGATTAAACCACGTCCACGCAAACACCGCCCCCTCCGTCCTTGGCGTATCCCCCGGCACCACAAACTGGAACGAGCTCTCGCCCTGCCCGGGACAGCCCCCCTCGTAGCTATGCACCACGCGGAACGACGCGCCGCCGTCTACGGAGATGGCCGCCTGGCACGACCCGCCGCCGTGAGCCGCCCCGCCCGTGATGGTGAAGTTGTAGGTCTGGCCGGGGGTCCAGGAGGCCACGGCCCGGCCTTGTGGGGTGTGCAGTAAGGGGAGGTAGCCCTTGCAGGGGAAGTCGGAGCCGTCGGCTTTCAAGGGGGAGGTCATGCTGTAGTCGGCGCCGCTGGGGCCGGTGTTGGGGTTGCTTTGGGATTTGAGGGGGGGTGGGTAGCTCATCTGCATGTGGGCGGTTGTGGTGCCCGCTGCGGCGAGGGTGAGGGCGAGGAGGTGGAGAAGGTTCGTCATGTTGGTTGGTTGGTTGTTGGGTTTGTTCTTTATGAGTTGGGGGATGGATCTGATGGTATTAGGTAGGGGAGAGAAGAATGGAGGAAGTTGGGTTGGGAGATACGGTTGTGGGTGTTAAATATGGTGGTTATGTTCATCTGATGGGGAACAATAGGGTTGAACAAAGTTGCCATTGTTGGCAACTCATTGTCGCTATGTAGAATGGTATTGAGCGTCATTGAGAAAGGGTAAGAGTTTGGGTTTGCTGTGTTATCTACTCCAGCACAAAGAGCCCAAAGGGCAAACTCCTCCTTTTGCATAATTGTTATGATGAGATGGAACGAGATGGGACTGCCAACAAAAGGGTGAACGGAAAGATCTGAGGTATCCCACATGACGCGCGCTTTGGCTCATGTAGAGTCCACGACTGTTTTCCAGGGAGCTATCAAACTTGTGACACTTAGAGTAATGCAAGACACATATTACCTGCTTAACAGTCCATGATTTTGATGACATTCTTTCTCCGTCTCTTTGACTCCTTCTCATTCATTGTTATCTTACCTTTGATGATTCATGCAGTGTTACTGGCACTCAAAAAGGTGAAACTGCAGTTTTTACGGAGAAACTGAGTTTGAACGGATAGCACCATGGCAACTTCTGTGCTTCGAGCTAAAATAACCCAGTCATATCCAAGCAATCCCGATATTTGCGAGGTAGATCTGAGTGGTAATGAGATGTGCACTGCTTGAAGCCTACTTCTTTTTTTTGGAATACATTGTGGCTCGGTCTCGTTTTCCTTTGCCCGTTTCCCCAAACAAGTCGGTAGATTCAAGTTCCCGCACTTTCAAGATCACACAATTGCAAATTTCTGAAAAAAGTAGGTCAAGAAGAAAACGTGGTTGAACATGTGTCTGTGAGCGTCGCTTATAACAACCCCAACCCTGACATACTCCTGACATCCAGTCCTGGTCCGCTTGACAAACACGGATCGAGAACAGTGACTGTTAGGGATTGATCCTGGAGTAACCAAAACAGCTGTAGGTAAAAGCACATTTCTACTTTCTTCGTGTTTCTTTACCCAGAATGGTGTTTTGAAGACGGTGACATCTTGGTGGTCACGTGGTCGGGTCATGTCTCCCGTTCCACAAGCCAAGCTCCCTGCCGAGCGGCATCCATGGGCGCCCCACTGTATGCCCACTGTGTGCCTGCGTGCCTGCCAACCTCCAAATCCGTCATCTCAACACCAACACCAACGTTGTCTGAACGGTCACTCCGCCACGTTATCTGTACTTACCTGAGCATTTGTTGAACGAATAACCTCTTTCTCCGATGAGCTAACAGGCATCATGTCGGAATATGACACAAATATGGGCGCCTCCCCGGCGACGGTGGCTGGCGGTGACCCGATGAGTGCGTCGGCTGCCCATGCCCAACTCAAAAAGGTTAAGAAGCAAAAGGTGTTGCTCATGGGAAAAAGCGGTTCGGGGAAATCCAGTATGCGTAGTATCATATTTAGTAATTACCTCGCCCGGGACACCCGCCGATTGTGAGTTCCCGTGTTTCCTTTTCCCTCACTCATGAGACATGGGCTGACCAGATTCTCACACTAGGGGCGCCACCATCGACATCGACCTGTCCCACGTCAAGTTCCTGGGCAACCTGACGCTGAATCTCTGGGACTGCGGCGGTCAGGAGGCTTTTATGGAGAACTACCTCTCGCAGCAGCGCGCCCACGTCTTCAGCAACGTCGGCGTGCTCATCTACGTCTTTGACATCGAGAGCCGCGACGTGGAGCGCGACCTGGCCACCTACGTCAACATCATCAGCGCCCTTGTGCAGTACTCGCGTGAAGCTAAGGTCTTCGTGCTCATCCACAAGATGGATCTGATCCAGCCCATGACGCGCGAGGACGTCTTCGATCAGCGAGCTACGCTCGTCCGGCGCAAGACCGCCGAGGCCGTCGCCATCATGCACAAGCAAAAGCCCGAACAAGGCGCTGGCAGCGGCAGCAACAACCAAGCCCTCCAACCCTCCCCCTCCCCCACCCAATCCACCAGCACCTCCACCCCCACCACCACCGAACCACCCATCAACCTCCAACTCTTCGCGACCTCCATCTGGGACCAATCCCTCTACAAAGCCTGGGCCTCGATCATCCACGACCTGGTCCCCAACCTGTCGGTAATCGAAACGCAACTGGCCAGCCTCGGGCTGGCCATCGACGCGGACGAGATCCTGCTCTTCGAACGGACCTCGTTCCTGGTCGTCTCCCGCTGGACGTCGCGCGAAGGGGAGCGCAACCCGTACGGGGATCGGTTCGAGCGCATGAGCAACATCCTCAAGAGCTGGAAGCACACGTGCTCCAAGTACACGGGCACGCCGCGCAACGCGGAGCAGTTCTCCGACTTTGAGTACAAGATGGGCGCCACGTTCAGCATGTTTGCGACGAAATTTACGACCAATACCTATATCCTCGTGTGCATGCCGCCGGGGGAGGCCAGGTTCAATAGTGCGAAGCTGAATGTGGCGGCCGCGAGGTCGTGGTTTAAGTTTTTGGATGGGCCTGTGGTCCCGACGCAGCAGGCTGGTGGTGCGAGGGGGATGGGCGGTTCGTCGGGGTATGGAGGGGAAGGGGTGGGGGCGCCGGAGAGCTGAGTGGCCGGCTTGGGCCAGAGAGCTTGGCTGAGTAAAGGTGGCTGGGATGGATCTCAGAGGAAGAGTTTATTCCGCAGCAGGCTGTGGGATACCACGGTATTCGGCGTTTACGGTGTTAAAAATGGTTGGAGTATGGGCTAGCAAAGAGGAGGCTGGGTACATTTTCTTTCGGGGCAGTGGGCATCATTAGGCTTCTGGTAGATGGTCGTGTTGTTGGCCATTCACGTTACAGTACAGCCCAGCAAGTAGCAAAACCTGGGTGTGAAATCGTTCCCTCTATCATCCCTCTTGGTGAACCGCCTAACGCCAGTCGCCCCAAGGTCCCAATCCCGTCATAAATGTGCCATGTCGGCTCATGGCCCCATGATTACTTCCACTTAACAACCGCGGTACCGCCCCTCTTGAACTCAGCCATCTCACCCAGAACTAGGCCCTTCTCCTCGTGTTCCTTATTGGGGAAAGTCTTTGACAGCACCCACGCCCGGTTGCTAATGGGAAGGCGAGGAGCGCTGAATAAAGTCGTAGACGTCACCAACCGTTTGGATCGTGTTGAAGCGCGCGGGGAGCCGAGTCCCGTCAGGAAGCTGGATGCGAAGCATCAGGGTGGGCTGTGACTCGTCCACGCCAGTGGACAAGCCCTGGTTGGCGCTCGTGGCCGCCGGGGCGGACGTCACAGGTTGCGGGGCCTCGGGCTCGCCCGGAACAGGGCTTCCCAAACGCCGTCCCTCGCCCCCGAATGGTCGATACACCTTCGGCAGAGGCCTGTATTCTTCGTTATGTTGCTCAAGCTTAACATCGACCCGTTGGTCCATTTGGATGTTCATTAGATGAACCGGTGCCCGTCCTTCCCGAATCATCTGCAGATCGGCCCGGTTTTGGGGGTCGTCGAAGCGTCGCAGCTCCCCATCGTCGATGCTGAACCCGTCGGTCCAGATGTGCAAGACGCGCTCCTGTACTGGGCCTTCGTTGGTTGCGGTCGGAATAGCGCTGCCGCGAGGGTCGGGGATCGTACGGCTCTCGACACCGTCGCCGCCCAAGGTTTGGCCTGTGCCACGGAAACGGGCCCTCGCGGGCCCGGCGGCCTCCTCAGCTTCCCGGTTCTCCCGAGCGCTTCTGTGGAAGGACAGAGTTAGCTTCAGTGCATGAGGGGCAATTGTGGGCCGCCTAATGCTTACGATCGAGCTTTGTTCATGATGTCACCGAGGATCTTGCGCGAGTCAGACTGGCGCTGACTAGGATCCTGGACGGCCAGACCAGACTTCTCTCCGCCGGCAAAGAGATCCCTTGGGCCACGTCGCTCATCCTCTTCATCATCGTAGTCTTCGTCCTCTTCCTCGTCGTCGTGGTCATGCCCGCCACCGAGAGAGCTCAAGGTGGCCAGGCCCGTTCGCTTTTGTGGTTTCTTTGCGGTCGATGAGGAAGATGCCGTGGCATATTGCGGCGCTGGGCGACCGTCCAGTGTCCGGGGACCAGTGTACTCGGGTTCGGCTGCCGCAGCTGACGCGGCGGGCGCCGCGGCTTGTCCGCTTTCTTCCATGTCCGTGTAGTATGAAGTAACGGCTGAGTCGATATCCCACTTGCTGGCACTGAGATACTCGGCGGCCTACTTTGGTCAGACACTGGGAAATACCGGGGGCAACATGGAATGGGGGGGCCGCTACCTGCTCAGTGGACGAACTCGTCAGCTCGCAAAAGTTGCTGATCAATGTGTCATGGTCTGCCATCTTGAAAATCGACTTAATTGCCTCTGCGCGGTCAAGTTGGTGGGAATTGTAAAACAGGAAGGGGCGGTTTGGAGGAGGATTTGTTGAAAGTTGGTCGGTGGCAGTTTGCACATCAGGCAGCTCAAGGCGACGAGTGCCGCAGCAAGGCACCTTCGTCCCGCGAATGCTGCCCCGCGTCATTATGCCCCGCCTTCTGAAGGGGCTAGCCTTCTGAAGGTGTCCGATTACGTTAGTTAACGAGCTACCCGAAGGAAGCCATTCCTACCGACGTCAAACTTCACCAGTTCTTCCTGTCACTTAAATCTCAAGTACAAAGCAGAATTTTCAGGTAGCATTTCCCGGCTATCTTTTAACATTGTCCTGGAATTGGATTTTGCTCGCAACTACTTTCGGCTTGCAGCAAGGACTCGGATCAATTTGACCCGGCCGCCGGTGGTGGTTCCATCGATTCCAGCTGCTGGGGCCAAGACCGTTGCCAACCTATCCCTGCTACCTTGTTCAGGCCGCTGCATCTTTGGAGCTCCGGGCGCCGGCATAAGGCATCCTGTTTACCAAACGAATATCTACACCACCACAACAACTTTTCCTCTACCATGGCATCCGAAGAGCCGCCAAACCCCATGGCCGAATCCGGGATCACGATCCCTTCTGATAGCGAACAGTATTCCCGGCATGGAGACCAGTCGACCTCACCCCCGTCGTCTTCGTCACCAGCCGTGATCCTCTACCAGCCGCCCACCATTTGGTCTATTCTTCGCGGCGCAGCTATCAACTTATTCCTTCCCTTCGTCAACGGCATGATGCTTGGCTTTGGCGAGTTATTCGCACACGAGGCGGCCTTCAGGTTAGGGTGGAGCAATACGAGGGTATGTCACGGCTTTCCCCCTCTCTAGCCGCCAACCTTCCAAGCGCACGGTTAACCGGTTCTAGATCTTTCCCATGTCGAGACGAGAAGCGCATCCGATCGGTCCCGGGATCGAAGCCGTAGAGAAACCGACACGGCGGAACGACCTCGATGACTTAACGAGCTTGGAATGATGGCAATACTTCGTACATGCCTGGGTCGGAATTACCGCTGATATGCGCAATACCTTGGAAATATCTCGACATATTCTGAGGGAGGGTGGCAAGATTTGCTTGTAGGGCGTCCCTCGAGGAGGAGACAGCCCGTCCTAGCGGGGCAACGGAAAGACTAGAACACAAGCGAGGTGCTGGGGTCGATCGCTCTCTTTGTCTGTACATATGCCAACACAACTCGACCCGCGCAGCGTCTGCTCCAGGCCTTGAGGGCCTCTAACAGGTTCCTGGCTGTTCCAAATTCGAGACAAAGACGGTTCATCCAGCGTGCTGAAATCCTCGAACCCAGGAGCTTCCAGGTTCTGTCGAATGTGCCACCACTTGACTACCCGACCATTTGCCAAGGGCTTCGGCCTCTGCCCGCAACGGACCCACCCAAAACTTTCGGGTGAGTGGTCAGCGCGCGAAACTGTAAATTTTGACCAGTGTCGGCAGCTTTCAAGGTTGTGACGCAGGCATTGAACTGTGTATCAACACAGAACAGCCAGGCAAGATGCTTCCCAGCAGGAACCTTCTCCGGCCAAGCCCCGCGCTGGGGCTTGTAAGAGCAGTAAGTCATGGGCCTTATCATGCCGGATCCACCGAAAGCTTCCTACTCACGTCGCTCTAGGCACTGCCAAAACCTTCGACCCGGCTCCTCTCCCGAGGGTTCGGCACAGCGCTGCGAAACAACCGAGTGGCCCTGCATGGGGCATCGACGGCCAGGAGGATAGGAGGCCCTGTGGCCTTTGGTCTGGCTTCACAGCGACCCACATTCGCGAACCAGCAATCTCGCAATGCCTCGACTCAACCAACGATCGCCCCGACCTCCGCCTCCGATGTTTCGAATCTCGCCGACGTCACAGGGACGCCGGTGAACCTAACCGGCAGCGACCTTCTCGATATTCCGGAACAGATTGGTTTCCTAAAGACACTCGGGCTCGAGTTCGGCTGGGGGCCGACCTCGCTGATGCAAACGGTATTGGAATCGGTCTACGTCTACACTGGTCTCCCGTGGTGGGCATCGATTGCCATGGTGGCTGTTGGCCTCAGGGTCGCGCTTCTCAAGCCCACACTTGACGCATCCGAGAACACAGTCAAGTACCAAAAGTTGTTGAAAAATCCCGAGTACGCGGCCGCGATGGAGGACATGAAGAGTCTGATGATCACCGGCAACCATATGGCCGGTGCCCAGGCACGAGCCAAGGTTTCTCTCATGAACAAGGAAGCTGGTTATTCGCTATGGAAAAATTTTGCGCCCATGCTCCAGCTTCCCTTGGGCTACGGCATGTTCCGCCTCATCAAGGGGATGTCCGCACTTCCCGTGCCCTCGTTCGAGACCGGTGGGATCCTTTGGTTTACTGATCTAACCGCCGCCGATCCGCTCTTTATTATGCCCATCGTCACAGGCCTCGTCGTGATGGTGGGCATGAGGGTATGTCACTATCAAACCGCTTAGCTGCGGGACCGATCTTTGGATGCTGACACGCGCGTGAAACAGATACCTCTGCCCTACATGGCCCCCCAGCAACAGCAGACGATGAAGACCATGGCTCTTGTCATAATGCCGCTTTCCACGGCCGTTGGTTTGTTCCTCCCGTCGGGCTTAACCCTCTACTTCTTGCTCTCGTCTGTGTTACACACATTTCAGACATACATGATGCATCAGCATTGGTTCCGCCGGATGGTGGGGTTGCGGCCGCTCGACGATCCAGCGCGGGCGGGCGCAATGACCTGGCAGGCGCCGCGCATCGTCGACATGACCGCCCCCAGGGTCACACCGATTCGACCCAGCGCCCCACCGGCTTCTGAGAGCGTATACGCGAGCCTCCAGTCTTCCATTGCGAGCGCCAGAGAGAAGCTGAACCAGCGTTCTGATAACGACGCGGCGAAGCGTGCCCAGAAGGCAGCTCAGCAGTACGAGGAGAAGCGGGCCCTCGAAGAGAAGGAGAAGATCATCGGGCGCCTTCAGAAGCGTAAAGGGAGACAGCACTGACGAACATGATGAATGATACTACCCCATTGGATCGGAATGCCACGACACGGGAAAGGCACCCATATCTGACTCAGCAGCGGAAGGGTTGCCTCCTCCATTTGTACATTAATCCCCACGACCCCCGCCCCCGCGTTACCCGCACTCAGCATTTCGGGGAAGGTTCAGCCTTCATCTGCAAGGCGCAGATCGCTGGGATGGTGAGATGCGGTGGCTTTGTGAGGCAATGCCATCCCTCGACAGATCGGGACTCGAATGAGGGGGTCGCGAAGCACGCCATGCCGACTGGTGATCGCTCCGCCAAGCCGCCTCTGTCTGACAGGATCAGATTGGACAGCCTTGAGATGGCAACGCTGACGGCGGCGGCGGGGTATAGTTTGGCTATATAATCTTCGTCGTGTATTTGTCCTGTACTTTCTCAAACCAAGACTTTATTCATTCCCATCTTCCACCTCACCTTGGCAACTTCCGTTGTTTCACCCTCAACCCCTGAAACCAGTCTTGAGTCGTTTGACAGCCTACTTACCTATTTAACTTGTAACTCCCCCTCTCTCATCATCTCAAGCAACAACCCAACAACCCCAACAATACCAATTACCCCTCCAACCCCCCCAATCCCAATCCCATTCCCAATCCCAAACCAACCACCAACCCCACCAACAAACATGTCCACCACCGCCACCCAAGAAAACCTGCAAACCGCCTCGGCCGCCTACGCGGCCTCCTTCACCCAGGGCCATCTCGCCCTGCCCCCGGCCAAGCAGTACCTCGTCCTCACCTGCATGGACGCCCGCATCGACCCGGCCCGCGCCTTTGGCATCGACCTAGGCGACGCACATGTCATTCGGAATGTGAGTAGCCCACCAGCTTAGGCTTCGTTGCGGAGGGGGTTGGCGGAGGGGTTGTGCTATTTGGTGAGGGGTTGTTGTTGTTGAGAATGGTGTACTGACTGACAATGGATGGTGGTTTAGGCCGGTGCGTCGGCGGTGGATGGCCTTCGGTCCGTCGTCATTAGCCAACAACTGCTGGGGACCAAGGAGGTTATTTTGGTGAAGCATACCGGGTGCGGGATGTTGACGTTTACGAATGAGGTGGCGTATGGGCTGGTGGAGGAGCGGTTGGGGTGAGTTTTTTCCGTTTTCTTTTCTCTCTTTGCGTGGGGGGTTCGGTTGCTGGGTGGTTTCAGTTTCTGGGTGGTATAGCTAACTGCTTTTCTTCTACGGTTTACAGTCCTGCGGCGGTGGAGGAGCTCAAGGAGAAGAACCTTGATTTCCTGACTTTCCCAGAGCTGGAGGCGGCTGTCGTTAAGGATGTGGAGTTTTTGAAGGCGTCGAAGGTGGTGCCGGACTCAGTGACGATCAGCGGGTGGGTGTACGAGGTTGAGACGGGCAGGACGAGACGGGTGGTTTGAGGCGGGCATTTGGACCCGACGATGAGCTCTGGTGTCTTCTAATGAGGAATGTTTCCCCGGACGATACCCTATACTTCGGAGATGTTTCTTTGTTGAAGGTTCCCTTGAATGTTTCCTATTTGTTCAACCTGGGATTCCACAGTCCTGTATGTGCAGGACTTGAAGTAGGCAAATTGAGACCATATATGTGACGGAGACAGGGGTTATGAATGCTCTATGCTTGCACGGCCGAAATATCGCACAGAAAAACTAATACATGATCACAGATGGACTAGCCCGGCCTCACCAGGGCATCTTTGAGATGATCATTCTCATAACTTAATTATTACCCAATATTCCAGGACCTCGGGCCCAGTCCTCAACGGTCGTCTCACAACCACCCCGAGACAAAAGGTCAACCCAAGACCAACTCCCCAACGTCAGCTAACAACTCAGAAACCTCATCATCCAAATCAAAACCACCCATGGCGAGCGCCTTTTCCATTTATATTATCATACAGATTGAAATGTTTAGGTTCAAGCCAGATCTCGGTATATTAACAATATCTCCCCACACACACGTCAATTCGTGATTTTAGCCCAAGTACCTTTCTTGACTTAGTCTAATTGATGTCAACATGGCCTCCTCCTTTGCGTTCGGGAAGCCCAGGCTTCTCAACGTGCAGGTCAAGGCTAGAAGCAAGGCGGTGTCATTGGTGGGGGCGTCCCTGCCGTTTGGATGCCTTTGTTGAACCAGTTGTTCCTGCCAACAATACCGGGCAATCTTTTCAGGGTAGGGCTAGACTTGCTAATTATCTAAGTACCTTAGGTATTGCCTTGGACATTGTTATTCATGGGCTTTCCGGGTATTTCCTCGACCGGCTCAGAGGCACGCTTTCAAATGAACTCACCCATCCAGTTTTACCGTTTCGTTCAATAATCTAGTGTTTAGTTTTACCAAACTTAGAACTAGACTCTAGGATAGCATGGCGACCCCCGAAAGACGCACCATCTCGCCAGCAGCCCCGGTAACATTGACAAGTTTACCTACCGAAATCCTAGAAATTATCGGATCCCACCTCATCACACGCACCAAGCCCAATGAACCCCCTCCGTTGTCAGACCTCCACGCTCTCGTCGCCACTTGTCGTCGAACTCATTGGGAATTTAATGATAAGCTACTATACTCTATCGATGCCGTCGATCCCCTCGGATCAGTTGCTTTGCTGTGGGGCGCAGCTACCGGTCAGATTAAAACCATGGAGCGAGCTGTGAGACACGGGGCCGACATCCACCGGGAAGACGTTGTTGGGGATTTGACGACTGACCCTCGAAACATCCCCCCCGGCGGCTATATCAAAGGACGCACTCTTCGCGGGAAGCGCAAAGAATCACCAAAACGCCGTGGTACAGCGCTGCATTTCGCCGTCAAGATGGGCCAGGACGAGGCGGTGAAGTGGCTCTTGGATCGTGGGGCGAGGCACGACGTCGCGTCAAGGGGCTTGTGCCACTGCTGCTAGCACGGCAGAAGGCGACGACAAACGTGGCGGCCCATGATTCCTTATCCCCAATGGTACCCATTACATATGGCCATCTGCTATGACCGCCCCTCGACCTTCAAAATTCTGGTGTCGAGAGGGGCATCGTTGGACAGAATCTGTCCCGGACGTTCGTACAGATACAAAGTATACCCAACAGCGCTGCAAAACGCCGCCTACGCTGGAAATTGGGATATTTTCAGCTACATTCTCGATCAGCCGGGTGCCGAACGTCGGTTGCATGCCAACTACTGGGACTGGAGCCTTAGCAACTTGTCCAAATTCGAACCGACTCTTCTTAATCTCGTATATATGGGATCGGGCCTCGACAACAGGGACAGCCGTGTACAAATCATACGGGAGCTCGTCCGGAGAGGAATGCGGTCAGGGGCAAACGCGGAACCCACCGGCAACACATCGTTATTGTTCCGTGCTTGCAAGGGCGGGGTATTCGGGATAGCCGTTGACCTGATCAATGCCGATGCGATCCTTCCGTCCGTCTACCAAAGTTCGCAAACATTGTTCTATCACGTCCTCAAAACGCCCAAGGATCTCTTTTACCCGAGGCTGGATGCGGACGACCCTTACGTCGGTAACTACTACGTAAGAAAGCCCGGATGTCACCAACGTGACCGGCTTGATCTTGTTAGGCTGCTCGTCGAAAAGGGTTACGTCAACATCAACCACATGTGGGGTCAGGGATGGGCATCAGAAACCGTTGCCATGCTTGCTGCGAGTCCGACAAGAACGAGGAACGGGTCTGTTGAAACCCTGGAGTTGGTCAGGGAGTTGGGGGCAAATTTGCAACAGGTGAACGCGATGGGTATGAATACTCTCCATTACTTGGTGAAACAATTGACCTCGCCGCGGGCCGATGGCGCGCCGCGTACCGGCGCCTTCAACTGCTGGTCAACTGTAAAATACTTGCTCCAAGACATGGGACTGGCACTCTGGTCTATGGATGCGCAGGGCAGGACGGCACTTGACTATGTCTATGACGCGGCTAGGGAGGCCACCAGGAGAGAGTTGAGAAGTCCAACCCGATCGGAGAGTAGAGTCTATTCCTGGGATCTGTTGACGGTGCATTTGGCAGAGACCATATTGGCTCATTCCGGTCTGTCGGCCGCGTCACCGTGGTTTATAGCGGAAACCCGCAGGCTGGAGGTGGCAAGGACATCTTTACGTGTGCAAAGGCACATTGTTTATGCCCTTAACACATAGATATTTTAATGGCAAGGTGGGGCCGAGGATAGAGACATGAGTTGGACGGGGCAATGGCGTGTTTGAGTACTGGATAGGACAACAGCGTGGAGTTACGGGTTGGCAGGCATGGGTTGTATATATAGTTGGCCTTTGAGTCGTGGCGTATCACCGCTCTCGTTGTTTACGGTGATGACCGCTGCAAAACATCCACCAACTGGACGTGGCACGAGCGACACTAGTATCATGAAAAGAACCAGTTGCTGCACTATATGACAATAGCTCAGCCCTCACAAGCCCCACGTCTGTCTCTAGAAACCAACGAAACAAAACTAAACATCCATCACGACGACCTCGCCAGACCGTCGCTGAGAAATCCAAGCTCCAGGCATGTAATACGTGGGAGGTGGTGGGGGAGGGGGAGGGGGAGGCACCGTAGGTGCCGTGCCCTGCTGCTCACCACCACCACCAACACTGCCTGCAGAACGCTGCACACCAACCCCGCTCCGAAACCTAAACACCGGCACTGACGGACCCATCACCCTTCTCCCATCCCCTACCACCGCACCTTTGCCCGCCGCCCCCTTGCCCATAGTCACCCCCTGACCTGCCTAGATGTCTTGATGGTCTGGCGCACCCCGTGCCCTACCCCCGGGCCTTTCTCGAAGACTGCATGCTAGCCGGCCTACGCGGCTTTTGGTCAACCGGCATGCCATGGCGCCTCATCAATGCTGCCATCACCACCTCCTTTGCCTACACCGTTACTCCTGCCTGCAAGACGTCTTGGACGGCTCTCACCGGTTTGGCTTGGTCAAACGTTGACGACCCCCAGACCATTACCCTCCCCTGCCCCCGATGCACCACCAACCTCCAGATTCCCTGGACAACCTGCTCCAACCCACCCGGCTACCCCTTCGACGGCATCCCGGACCTTACAGGCACCGGCTACGGCGACGGAAATCTGCAACACCACTGCGACAGTTGCCAAACCACAATCAACAAACCACTTTTATGCGTGGCCAAATTCACCAACGACGTCAATTGCCTCCTCAACCCTGCAATCAACCGCCCCATGCCCGGAACGCTCCTCGACTTGCGCAACGGGAAACCCCCGTTGTCACCCTCGGCCTCATCGTGGGGCGCCAGCCCGCCAGCCACGTTCCCCAACCGGTTGCTCAAGAAACGCAACGATAACCCCAAAATGCAAGTCACCGGACTGATTGTGAGT